TCCAGACTTGTTCATTCCCTCAAACCTCCGCACGTCTGTGCACTCAGCACTTGCTTTATTCCTCCAAACCCCCTTTCAAAGTCTGCTACATTGCTTCACCTTCCCTAACCTCCTTCACGTCTGCTACACTTAAGACTTTCCATTCCCCACATAACCTCCTTCACGTCTGCTGCACTCAAGCACTTGCTTCATTCCCTCACATAAAACCCCCTTCACGTCCTACACTTAAAACACTTGCTTATTCCTCTCATAACCTCCCTTTACGTCTGCACATCCAGCACTTGCTTCATTCCTCTCATAACCTCCTTCACGTCTGCTACACTCCAGCACTTGCTTCATTCCTCACATAACCTCCTTCACGTCTGCTGCACTCAAGCACTTGCTTCATTCCTCACATAACCTTCACGTCTGCTGCACTCCAGCACTTGCTTCATTCCTCTCATAACCTCCTTCACGTCTGCTACACTCAAGCACTTGCTTCATTCCTCACATAACCTCCTTCACGTCTGCTACACTCCAGCACTTGCTTCATTCCTCTCATAACCTCCTTCACGTCTGCTACACTCCAGCACTTGTTTCATTCCTCACATAACCTCCTTCACGTCTGCTACACTCCAGCACTTGCTTCATTCCTCTCATAACCTCCTTCACGTCTGCTGCACTCCAGCACTTGCTTCATTCCTCACATAACCTTCACGTCTGATGCACTCCAGCACTTGCTTCATTCCTCACATAACCTTCACGTCTGCTGCACTCCACACTTGCTTCATTCTCACATAACCTCACGTCTGCTGCACTCCAGCACTTGCTTCATTCCTCACATAACCTTCACGTCTGCTGCACTTAAGCACTTGCTTCATTCCTCACATAACCTCCTTCACGTCTGCTACACTCAAGCACTTGCTTCATTCCTCTCATAACCTCCTTCACGTCTGCTACACTCCAGCACTTGCTTCATTCCTCACATAACCTCCTTCACGTCTGCTACACTCCAGCACTTGCTTCATTCCTCACATAACCTTCACGTCTGCTGCACTTAAGCACTTGCTTCATTCCTCACATAACCTCCTTCACGTCTGCTGCACTCAAGCACTTGCTTCATTCCTCACATAACCTCCTTCACGTCTGCTACACTCAAGCACTTGCTTCATTCCTCTCATAACCTCCTTCACGTCTGGCTGCACTTAAGCACTTGCTTCATTCCTCTCATAACCTCCTTCACGTCTGCTACACTCAAGCACTTGCTTCATTCCTCTCATAACCTCCTTCACGTCTGCTACACTCAAGCATTTGCTTCATTCCTCACATAACCTCCTTCACGTCTGCTGCACTCCAGCACTTGCTTCATTCCTCTCATAACCTCCTTCACGTCTGCTACACTCCAGCACTTGCTTCATTCCTCTCATAACCTCCTTCACGTCTGCAAACACTCAAGCATTTGCTTCATTCCTCACATAACCCCCTTTCACGTCGCTGCCCCACACTTGCTTCATTCCTCTCAAACCCCCTTCACGCTCTGCACTCCACACTTGCTTCTTTCCTCTCATAACCTCCTTCACTCCGCTAAAAACCCAAAGCATTTGCTTCTTTCCTCACATAACCTCCTTCACGTTTTTG